ACGGTAGCGCGGAGGCAAGCCTTGTCCCCGGCCCCCTTTGCAATCTGAGTCGGTTCCCCATGCAAAAACCTGCTGCGGGCTTTCTTGAGGCAGAGGACCGGACGCGCTAAAATGAGACGGGCTCTGAATAGTCATTCCTGCCTGCAAGGGGTTACTTAAGGTACCCAAGGGGAGAGGGGTCCTTGCCTTGCCTGGATTTTGGTTACAAAACCAGGCGGGCGCTGAGAGATGCTCAGAGCTTCCTAACCCGGGGATGGGTTAGCCCCGGGAACGGTCATTTCTTCAGGAAATTTCTGCAGTTTTCAGAAGATGAGGAATCTCTCTCCAACTCTGCATTTTGTTCTCCAAAATGTGCTTTTAAAGGTCTACGTCTGTATTGTGGCCCTCCCTCGAATCGAATGTGGCTTTAAAATCATGGGATTTAAGCAAAACGACCCATAAAACATGCACCGTCACTTTGGAGGAGAACATTTCTCTTTGCTTTCTAGTAATTTGGCTGCTTTTAGGGTCTCACAGGGCAGTTTTTATCTGCAGGATAAGAAAGAGAATTAGAAGTGTTTTTATTCTCTCCTTCCTCTTGGAGATTTCCCCATGGTGTCAAGGCCTCCTGGAGCTGCACCGCGGAGAGAAGGGCTCCCTGCAAGGTGTGCGACAAGATCACGGAGACGAGCAGAGCAGCGCAGCGCTCACCTCGGGTCCCAGACATAACGTTGCGTGCGTACGCGAGAAAGGGACAAGGGGGACAACCCACCGTCTTGCCATAGGAGTCGTGTACGGGCGAGACGATACCACCGATGACGATGAACCGCCCGCTCTTGTGCAGATAGTCCCGGGCTCTCTCTGAAGGAGGAAGCACACAGAGAAAAGCGCGAAGGGAATCAATACAGAAACCGGCGTCATGGAGGCCCACAGACACCGGCAGCCTCAGGCCGACTTGGCCAAACTCCCGTTGAGCGATTCGCCTTCGGCTGGGTGTTGTGCAGCACCACGTTCCCCTGGGGCTGTTTCAGGAGACCAGCCAGCCATCCCCACCGGCGAAGGCAGGACTCTGCCCAGCAGAGGACCTCTGCGTGCAGTGCCAGGGGCCCAGTCACTGGTTAAAAAACAGGCCTATAAAAATATTCCGAACACAAAGAGGTTCAGCCCAGATGGCTGAGACGTAGCTCTGCAGCGCGAAAACGTGCGCGTCCCCATCCCGCGTGGTGAAAGGGGCAGGACTGGGGCGCAGCCCTCTTACCAAAGAAGAGGGGAGAGAGGGTGTTGGGGGGGACGAGAGGCAGCAGTGGGTGGGGAAGAGGAAGAGATGAGGGGCGTCGCCCTGTCCCTCCGCAGCTCGGCTTTGCAGGACTGCGGCCATTTTGCTCTCCGCCTTGGACATCCCCCCGTGTCAGCCTGCCGCCTAGGACAACCGCCTGCTCGTCCCGTGCCAAGGCCTGGCCTCGATGCCCTAGATGAAAACCGCTCACCGTGACGGCAACATAACGCCCTGCTCTCGGATCCGGGCAGAGGACACGGGGACCCTTGAGGGACCAAAACCCAGCACCTCTTGGGAACGCAGAGCAGCGTCAAAACGCCTGCGAGCGGGTCTGAGGCCGGCCCCAGCCTCGGGCGAGGAAGAGCAAGGCTGCGGACGTTCGTTTGCTTTTGGGGGATCTTTCTGGTTAACGCTTCGCTCCCTGAGCAGAGGTTGGCATTGGCTAGCTGAGCAAGAGCTCGATAAGAAGGGGTGAGGTTTGGCCCGGTAAAGCAGAGAAATGCGAGGCACGGGGTTATTTGCTGGGGTGCTGAGCCACGAAAGCCGGGGCGGAGAGCCCAGGCGGGGAGCCAAGGCGCTGCCGGGGCTCTCCGCGGGCCCCCGCCACCCGACGC